CCCCAAAACCCCAAAACCCCAAAACCCCAAAACCCCAAATCAATTCAAGATGATTGTGAATAGAGATTATTTATATTTTAATTTTTGACTTCCTAAACTGCTCCTTCTGCTGCGTTTTGGTAAGGAGCGTTCTCAGTAGGCTCCTTTAGTTCTCTCTTGTACTTTCCGTACTCGATGGGCTTCTCCATTTCCATCTTTCCGATCGTGCGTTGTACGATCTGTTCATAGATGATGGTCAGGAATCCATTTACCAGTGCAGAGCCAATGATTACGTACTTAAAGTAGAACTCCAGGCCAGACAGATGGAAGGTATCCCTCATCCATGGCTGAGGTCCTAGGGTGATCCATCCAATCATGGCAAACTGGATTGATAGCAAGACCATAAATGGGATATTTGTATAAATAGGGCTCCTGAACTGCGTTGAAACGTGGAAAGCTATTCCGACAAACACATACTGTGGGATTGTGATCAGGAACATAGCTGTAGTTTCATCTCCATCTGTGGTGGTATCATGCTGTTTCTCAGATCTTGTGTAAAAGTTCTGTGCTCTTAGATTGAACCAAGTTCCAAGGATAAAAGCGAACATTATGAGAACTTGTCCATATATACTACAGAAGATAGACCAACTGAACAAAGATCCAACTGGACGTTTGTTGATTAGATATGTCTTGGGGCGAGTCCAACTCAAAAGCATCGTGATTGGTACCACACCTCCAAGATCGAAGAATAAGTACTGAGTATCGTCATAGGTAGAAGTCATTGTATTCAAGATCATTACTGAAGTGAACTGGATATAGGTGTACACTATCATGTATCTATTTTAGTGTTAGCATATAAATTTTGAAACAAGGAACTAATTATTACTTAACTGCAAAAAAAGAAATTGGCCAATGAAAATTTAGAAATATTTTCAAATGGGATCGTCCAGCATTTCAAAATATGATCTGTTTAGAGCAAAATATTCAAATTTGAGCTAAGTTTGACAAATCTAGACTGTAAAAAATTTATGAGAGATCAAACTACGTTTTACTCTACAAAATCAAATTGTAAAATGTGAAATACAAACCAGATGCTATTGAAATGTAGGAGATTGCACATACCTGAATAACTCATAACTGAGATCAAGAGAGGCCCTTCCAAGTATTAATAGGTTGACACAAGATGAGATATCCTGAATTTTTGAAGTAAATGGTGCTACTATAGATGCTTCTGCTTCTGAAAGAGATAGCCCAACATCAGCACTCTTCAATGCAGCACAGTCATTAGCTCCGTCACCACACATTCCAACAATTTCATCTGTCTGGTTTTGGAGTTCTTCTACCAAGAGGGCTTTATGCTGTGGGGACATTCTTGCAAAGACTTTTCCTCGTCTCAGGACTTCAGTAAGCACTTCTTCAGCCTTATACCCACCAATCTTCTTACCCTTATCTCCTTTCTCGCATTCTGTGATAAGTTCCTTGAATGAGGTACCTTCCATTGCTACTTGAAGGGGTTTTTCCTTCTCTGTCATCAAATACTCAAGCATATCTTTTTGCTCGCGTTCCTCATCTCTATTAGCTAAATGGGCTAACTCAGGGTCACAATCGTCAAACTGGAGGTATCCACCTTCATCTTTCTGTTCTTCTTCTACAGCAAACACATTCTCTTCTTTGGTCCAGGTGAACTCTCCGTCTTTAGAACTAGCAACAATGACCTGGTTAGACTCTAGGATTCCTCATTCAGCTGACTTGTTAATCCCAGTCAAAATGTTGTCTCCTGTTGCCATAATGGTTACAACTCCTCCTAAAACATAAACTATATAAAACTTACCATTTTTGAGGTTTTCGATTGATTCCTTCGTGGCAGATTTCAGTTCATTGACCATGATGAGAAGCCCCAAGAAGATGATGTCCTTCTCACAGTTATTTCTATCAAGAGTGTCGACATTGTCCTTGTCAAAATCAGGGAAATATTTATATCCCATAGCAAGAACTCTGTGTCCCTGCTTTGTATGGTAGTTGTACTCCTCTTCATAATTATCAGGGATTGTTTCTGGTAGACTCAACTTATGTATCATCTCTGGAGATCCTTTTACAAATAAAATTCATGTGTCATCGTATGAAGGCTTAATAACTGTTGACATCCTCTGAAGAGCAGAAGAGAAATCAAACTTGTGCATCATCGAGATAGTATACATCTCCCTACTTGGCTTTGAGTCTGATCCTATTGCTTCTTGTACACGAGGAGGATAGAGAAGTACAGTTGAGCCTTCTTCAATTTGGGATTCAGAGCTATCATCAAATTTCCATTGGGTTGATTTGAACATTTCAATATCAAGAGTGTCTCCCAAGAAATCTTCTCCATAAAGAGACAAGGAGTGGCAGCCAGCTATACACTCTTCGTACTTAACCAATTTTGAATCTTTAAATTTCAGATACTCGTCTTTATTTAGCCATATACGAGTGTTCTCTACAGGATTGTTTTGAGAAGGAATTCCTTTTAGCTTATCTTCCCCGACATCAACTTTATAAGAGTTACAGGAGAGACCACTCTCAGTTAGTGTTCCTGTTTTGTCAAAGACCATGATGTTGACTCTCCCTGCAGATCTGATTTTGTCTGGCTTGATACAGTAGATAGACTTGTCTCTTAACTTAGCAAGAGAGAACACAATACCCATTGTCATCACAATTGGGAATTCTGGCGGAATGGCAAGAGTGATTCCAGCAAAATATCTGACAATTATGTCAAATGGCTTATAGTACTCAATGTAGATGTACAGGATAGCTCCAAATCCAATAATGCACACAATAGCAGATGATAGAAGGTAAATCAATGATTCATATCCAAAATTGAATCTTTCTGGAATTGGGTAAAGAATTGATTTAATCATTTCTCCCTTTTCACACATAAAGCCTGTCTTAATAACAATTACCGTGTTTTTCTCATCACCAACTGTTCTGTTCTGGACCACTTCTGTTCCGGAGAATAAGAAGTACTTGACTTGGTCAGCAGTTTCAATACTGAACTTCTTAATTTTGGTTTCACTGTTAGGGAGAGGCTCTTTTACAACAGGAGCACTTTCTCCTGTAAGCATTGCTTCATTAATAACGCTGACTCCATTAAGCATAATTGCATCACATGGAAGTTTAGAGCCCTGTGTAAGCTCCATGATATCGCCTGGGACAAGGTCAAGACTACTGATCTCAATCCATCTGGAGTTTCCGCTTTCATCTTTCCTCAAGACGTTAACTTTTGTTTCGAAGTACGCCATCTTGCTCAGCATGATCAGATTAGATCTGACTGTGGTGAGTTCTCCATATATAGAGACAAAGAGCATGAAGAAAATGGCTACTCCATACATCCATGAGCCACTGATGCTCCAATCAATTAGTCCAATAATTTGAAAAATGTAGAAGAACTTCAAAATATCTTGCACAAGAATCTTCAGAGCTGGCTTAACGTTGATGTTCATTACACATGGGCCGTAGAGTTGATGCTAGAAGGTAGGTTAGACTCAACTAAGATGTGTAGGGAAGCTTACCAGCTCCTCATGTTCTTTATCACTGATCCCACACTCCTTCTCTCTCATCTTCTTGAACTGTACCTTGTAGTCATAGAGTAACTGATCGAACTCCTGGAGGAGAGGATCGTACACAAAAGTAGTGTATTTATAGATAAAAGTATGAATTTTTCTACAAAATCAGGTTTCACCACGTACCATTTCTCTTCTCCTTGTGTCCGGATAGAAGCAGGCAATCCAACAGTATTCTTGTCTAATGTAACTATAGCAAGTTAAGAATAAGTCAAAAAGAGTTGACTCACTTGTTTGAAGTTTTACAATTTCTTCTTGAGTGATTCTAAAAATTAAATGTAAAAATTACTTTTTGGACCCTTTCATCTCTCCTTTTGCAAGGATATGGGTGGCATCTTCAATCTATTTTTTTAGATGGATAGGTTACTTTATCAACTTTGCGATACCAGAGAAACTTCTGAACTCCTACGCTGTTCTGAGAAGCAAAATGTATGAGCCCTGCAGTGATAACTGTCATCAGAGGCATCAAAAGATATTTCTTGATGCTCGAAGCTCAGAAGAAGACTGGCGCCTCCAACTCAAGCTTCATTAAGGAGGCTGCAGATTTACCCTCCCCTGACTTATCATCGATCGATGTTGCGTTACTATCTAGATCAAATAATTAACTTTTTGAAGCTAAGATTCATCTTGATCCATAAATTAAGTAAAATGATCAGTTTTTAAGGAGAATCTCTTTTGGTAATGTCAAGAAGTAGTTCCTAAATACCTCCATCGTCCCTTAAAATGGGAAGCTAAGAGAAGGCCTATGGTAGATGGGAGAGTAAAAATAACATTTTGTATTTGTCTCGAGGAATTCCATGAAGAGGTGACATATGTGATAGCTATGTCCAATTTTTGGTGTATTTTACTCCCCACCGATCAGACCTAACCTAAGGCTCTAGAGCTCTATTCGACTAATTTTAGGGTCTACCCATGGTTTTAGATACTAATTTTGGCCATGGGAGCTTTGGTAGTCTGTTTAAAAAAGATTTAAAAAAATCTTGATCTGATTCGAGATAATCCACATTATACTTTTAAGAATAGAAAAATTTGAGTATTCCACCAAAATTATGAGCCATTCTTAGCCAATTATTGCCAAGATCTACTTACCAATAAGGTTTTCCTTAAGGTCACCATTCGCGACCATATCCCCTGTTTCTTTCGAGGTATTCTTATCTGTACAAGAATTAAGAAAAGATCAAGGATATATAAATAAGAAGTTAAAGAATACTTACCCATGCTTAAACTTAAAAATACTTGATTAATTAATGATTCCGAGTTGAGGGGTTTTGGGGTTTTGGGGTTTTGGGGTTTTGGGG